ACTCTTGGCAAAGTGTTCCTAATGGAAGCATGCTTTTCAGTGAATAGATACATGAAGAAGGCAGGAAACAAAGGGTCATTTTGTGAAGGACTGGTGTCCTTCTAATGTAGAATGAAATGGACCTTGTCTTTGGAAAAATGGATATGTAATAATCATCCTATAACTCTTTGAAAAGTAGTGCTATTAACATCCAATATCTCTTCAAATTGAATGACATGGGTACAAAGTTGGGAAATCAACTTTGCTCACAAGAAATTACCTGAAATTCTTGACCTTAGGGACATAAATTATCTTCCTCAGTTTATTCCTGGAGACAGGGCATCATAAAAGAAATCTCACAGGGCCAATCACAGAAGTAATAAACAAAAGCCCAAATTTTATGGGATCTCTGCTTTTAATTTGTCTTCAACAAAGGTGATTAATTTGAAATATTATCAAATGCATCTTAATATCTAGAAGTTTGCAATACTTTTCTTAAACCTGTAATCGTTACTATTGAAACAATTATTGTTAGAACCTCCTTTAAGCTCAATTAATAGACATTTTTTTAGAGAAGTTTTAAGTTCACAGCAAATATAAAAGAGGGAACACAGATATACCATATAGTCCTCATTCCCTTTCATGAATACTCTCACCCACTTCCAATATCTCCAAAAGAGAGATAGGTTTATTGCAATTGATGAAATTACTGACATGTCAATATCACTTAGATTTCACAGTTTATGTTAGGATGCTACATTTTCAATGAGTTTAGACAAGCATATAATGATCTGGATCCACCATTACATTATCATACAGAGTAGTTCACCGCCTTAATAATTATTCATGTTTCATTTTTTTTCTTCCCTTCCTTTCCTCATTTCCTAGCCATTGCTGATTTTTTTGTTTTCATAATTTTGCCTTTTCTAGGATGTCATATAGTTAGAATCATCTAGTCTGTAGCTTTTCTGTAAAATTCTCTGAAGTTTCCTCTATTTGTTTTCATGACTTGGTAGCTCATTTCTTTTTAGCACTGGATAATATTCTATTATCTAGATGTACACAGATAATTTATCGACCCATATACAGAAAGGTATTTTGATTGCTTCCAAAATTTGGCAATTATGAATAAGGCTACTATAAACGTCTATGTGCAGGTTTTTGTATGAGTTTTTGTATGCAGTTTTAAATTCATTTAGTAAATAAATGCTTGCTATGCTAAGAGTATGTTTAGTTTTATAAGAAACTAACAGTCCTCCAAAATACATTTTGCATTCTCACCAGCAATGAGTAAGAGATCCTACTGCCCTACCTCCTGTCAGCATTTTGTGTTGCCAGTGCTATGGATTTAGCCATCCTAATGGATATGTGGTGGCAACTAATTATTGTTTGCACCCTGAAGGCTTTTAGTCTCTATTTCATGTCATTTTAACTAGCTTAATAAATGAAAAAAGTATTTTTTTACCTTTCTGTCAAGTAATGAATTATCGCCATAAATCATTTATAACTGGATTATATGAGTAAAATACAAAAAAATTGTTATTTTGAAGAAGAAAAGAAGAATGTTTAGGGGCATAGCTCAGTGGTACAGTACTCGCCTAGCATACATGAGGCCCTGGGTTTGATCCCCAGCACCAAAAAAGAAGAGGCAGGAGAAGACAAAAATAAGGTACAGCTGGAGATCTAAACTTCTATTCACAGAGCAAAGGCATGCTTGAACCTCTCTCCTTGCTGTCAGTCTGTAGTTTAGTGCACCAGAACAAGAGGGCCTCTGCACTCTCCTTCCTTTTTCCAGTTGCTGAAACTCACCTATACAGACTCCTTGAAAGCCTGTAGGACAGTGTTAGATGCCTGTTAGATTTGAGTTCATTCTTAAAGAGTGATCATGTATTTTGTGGTTGGATAACAGGATTATATTTGGTGTCTCCATTTCCTGTAATAGGTGGAACTCATCATTGTAATTTTTTTTTCTTTTTAATTCCCTATGCCTGAGATTTTGTCTGTTTTTCTTATGAGTTGTTGTTGTTCCATTTGATTAAGAATCAGAAATTTTCTCTTTTGAAGGCATCATAATGAATATACGAAGTCCACAGGTACTAAAATACTTCTACTTACCTTTTTTGTAGCATATTGTCATTCATCATTTGAATGTTTCCAAACATGTGAACATTTCAGATTGCTTAGTGAGAATTTGAATAGATAATCTTTAATTAGCACCTCTGTACTTGGAATCAACCTAGAGAAATTAACTTACATCTGTTTGCAGTAGTGGTGGGACTAGAAAGTTGAAAATAAGCTAGATTTCTGGTAAATTTACTTCTCTAAAGGGATAATTTCTTTAAAATAAGAAAAAAAATGTATTTTAGAATGATACCAATCATATTTTAAACATAAGAAACTATGATTGAAATATTTAAAAAAGTATCACGTTTGTACTTCCCAAATAGTTCTCCATAGTGCATGTGAGGGAATATTGCTCCTTAGAAATCCTTGTGGTAAAAAAGGTAAATAAAGTTATATTTATATGTACCCTGAGAAAAGGCTTTGTTTTACAAGTACTCTGAATCTGCATACACAATATATTTTTTTGCACATTATGTTCATTCAAATTTATATATTTGTTATTTCTAATTTAAAAATAAAAAATTCTCATGACTGATTCAAGTTAAATAATTATTATTGAAAAAATGTTAAATGTAACCATACAAGCATACATATATAATGTAAATAGAAAAACCTATGAATTACTACTGAAAGTAATATTTTTGTCTTATGTCTGATATTTTTAACTTAGTTACATATAGGAAACTATAACACAATAAATAATTTCTAAATAAATTCCATTACTCACAAACCACTACTTGGTATTGGTCACACATCCTAGCTAATTCAAGGTATTAAACTAAAAAGTTTTAGATTTTAACTACTGTTACTGGTATATTTTTAGGCTTCTAGAAACATGGTACTGTAGGAAATGCTTGGTGTTTGAAACCAACTCTATGTCTCACTGGTATCATGAGTTAGCGTGAATCATCTAACATTTTCTCCACCTGGCTTGGCTTATCAGGGAGCACTGAAATTTGGAATTACATAGATGTATATTCAAACAAAGACTGTCATTAATACCTGGGTAATAATCTCTGTCTGCCTCACATTTCTTATTTGTAATAGATGTTAATAATAATTAACTTACAGAGGCCTTTCAGATATTTATATTATCATAGTTGGCTCATAACACAAATATAATAAAATTTTTAAATTTTTGCCTCAAATATAACTTTAAAAATTACCAAGTTTATCTTAATGACCATTATATCCCTTTTAACTCTCAAGTTTCATGATTTTATCACTTATCAGTCAATAATTACCTTGAATACTGAACAACTTTATTAGGTGAGAGAGTATGCTTGAGTCAGTGCCAGATGTTCCTGAAAAGGAAAAAAAAAATAATTAAATTCAGTGTTCATGCTGACTGCCCTATTGGTATTTTCAGTAATGTATCCATCTTTCTATACACATAAACTTACAAATAGATGATAGATACATAGAAACCTATATATAAATACAAAAAAAATATACATGCACACATACAAATATGCATATACACATTTGTAAATACATCCATGCCGCAGTCTGGCTGGGCACACAATCACGAGCCACCACACAGCTTGTAGATTCAAACAGCAACTCTTTATTCCCGAACTCACACCAGCCGTCTACAATCACGTTCTGGGGAAATCCACGTTCTCTTCCCAAATCCACGTTCTCTGCCCAAATCCACTTCCACTGGGCTTCTATCTCCAAAATATATTGTCTAAATCCCGTGAGAACTCAAGGGGAACTCAGGCAGCAGGATACGCCCTATTCCCAGCAGGAATAATCTTAAACCTTAAACCTGGAACCTAAACCGGGAACGCCCTAAACACGATTATCTTAAAACCGGGAACACCCTAATCTGCCTTGGTCCTTGAGCAAGGTCACTTACATTCAATGTCACTGCAACATGTCAGCAACATGGGGTACGCTGGCAAGGAAATTGTCATACCTACTTGGCTAATGGCTCCCAGCACATCCATACCACTCACATATATAATTGAAGCATGAGCTATGATCATAATTTCAGGTCAATTTTACATAAAAAATATATCAACAATGTATGTGTGAACAAATTGTTCTATTACTGATTATCTAAAATAGTATGTGAAAATTTCTACCATGTTTGAAAAGCAAGGTTGTGAAGTGAATATTCTCTAATGAGAACATCACCATGTGCAGAACATCAAGTAGTACAGGATGCAGCCTGTGATTTCTTAGCCTAGAGAAGAACATGGGTGTGGCAACTCTCTGCCTGGCTATGTAGTTTACATTGCATAATTTTCCAGTGCTTTGTTAATGAAACAAATTCACATTCATCCTTTCTTATTATAGTTTATCATTTAATTCTTTATAGTCCTGTAGAAAAATCAATGTCAATGTTACTTCAAATTAACAAATGAACAAACCAGTTGAAGGATGTTCAGCAGTGTGAGATCACAATGCAAAGGCAAGACAGAGAGCTCTCTGATCTTCTACCAACTTTAACATTTTTTAACTACCATTTACTGAATGTGTTGACCAAATCACACATTCTTCCCTTAAATAGCTTTGTGTGAACTGTCCATCAGCACGATTTTGATCACACACCAGAGAGAGGTGAATAATGATCAAGAAGAAGCAGGTATAGATAGCACTTCTTCATCCTTTGAAATTTCAGTGAAAACTACTGGGTCATTTGCTCTTTCTGGAATACTTGATAGTTCTCAATTTTTGACAGCATTTTAATTTCCTCTTGGTGATTATTCATGATGTAAGGAATTGTTCATTATTTTCTATAGTATTGTTAAATTTGAACATTTTACAATCAATAAATTAATGGTTTTAGAAGTTATTTTTGGTTGGAAAACCTTAGGGACTCCTTATTAGAAAATGCTTATCCACTCTTACCAAAGATTCAACATTAATTTCCCTTTTGTTTCTTCAAGGATAGGCAAAAGTTTTCAGGATCTGAGTTTCACACTAATTGTGGAAAATCTGGTTTGAACTTGATCTATGGCCAGTGTCTGGAGATTAGGATCATTACATAAAAAGAAACACTGGAAATGGAGTGCTGCTGGATAAAGATCAAACCTGAGCTCTTATCAACATGAACATGTCAATCTGAATACTTACCCGAAAGAAGAAGTGAACAATGTGTGAAAACAAATGAAACTACTCATTGTTGCTATTGTTTATTAAAAAATCTTAATTTTGTCTATTTTTGTGAGGGAGTTTTTATCAAATTAAGTTAATAAAAACAGAATTTCACAACATAAATTATATCAGATATTTAAAAACTGTTTTTCAAATTATTTCTCAAAAATAATAATTGCAAGCCTCAGGTAAGTATTGCTTTTGTTTAGATAGCATACATAAATATTTTGTTATGAACTTTATATTTTATAAAATTTTTCTCAAACATATATAGTAGTATTCTACCTTAATAATGCACAAATGAAAGAATTAAGGAATTTATAGTTCCAAATTAATATTTTTTACTCAAGTGAAAGAGTAGTAAATTTAAAAATAAGAGAAATAGAGACAAATGTACTGTGATATAAAATTTAAAAGATGGTAACATGAAGTGTAGTCTAAGAACATGGTTTTATACAGCTAATTACATTCTTGGTTGATAGAATATAAAATGAAAATTTGAAATGAAAACTTTTATGCATATACTTTTTGCAATTTATATAACTTTAAAATACAGGGAAGGGCATAGTATTTTAAATAAATTGCAACTAACCATTTATAAAAAAATAAAATTTTCTGTGTTCAGTTTAAGTAACATATTCATTTAATCCAAAAAATGTAATTTATTTAGTAGCAAAAATATTTATTATGAAATGTTACAATGAATACAAGTTCCTATTTTTACTTATCACATTAATAATACTTCCTTTTTACTCTCAACATGTTTCTTAATTTTATCTCATATTCAGTTTTTCTATAGAATGTATTCTTGTTTTGTTTATAATCTTATATATCTTTGTAATAATTTCTCAAATTTTATGATAAAAATTACAAGAACAGCCATTTATTGTGCTCTTATCCTAGGCAGAATTACAGTAGATGGGGTAGAGAGAGAAGATGGGAGGGGAGGGGAGGGGGGATAGTAGAGGATAGGAAAGGTAGCAGAATACAACAGTTACTAATAGGGCATTATTTAAAAATGCGGATGTGTAACCGATGTGATTCTGCAATCTGTATTTGGGGTAAAATTGGGAGTTCATAACCAACTTGAATCTAATGTATGAAATATGATATGTCAAGATCTTTGTAATTTTTTGAACAACCAATAAAAAAAAATTAATGACAATACAGACTAAAAGGTGGAGACTGTTTTCTTCAATTTTCAGGTAGAAACAGATGTTTAGGGAAGCACTTTGGCTATTGTCACATGCAAAATAAAGTATAAACTCTGTCTGATTAGAGATCGTACCTTTCCCCTCAACAGTATACTATTCAGAGTATTCCTGCATGTTTTAAAAAAATACAATTTACTTTTAGGATAGCTTTATATTTGGAGAAAAAATCAAGAAAATAGCATAAGGATACCAATATGCCCTAAACTGTTTCCTGTTATGAACATCATATCAAAATAATATGATAAAATTCTCAAAACCAATAAGGTAATATGGGCACAATATTATTAACCAAAGTGCAAAGTTCATTCCTATTTTATTAGTTTTTCTTACTGTCCTTTGAATCTCTTCCAGTATCCCATTCAAAATAGTGCATTAAATTTTGTCAGAACATCAGGTTTCCTCAAGCTCCTCTTGATACATTTGCAGACTTATCTTGTTTTTCATGACTGCAGTAGATTATAGTGATGAAAAGCTGACTAATGCACTACTAAATCATCCTTTTGGAAATTCAGCTGTATGTATTTCCAATGTATCTTCTTTATTTTAATACAGGAAATTCTTTAACAAATCTCCATGACTTTTTTTATCTTAATATATTTTTTATGGGCAAAAAGAATGAACTTTTTAAAACAAAATTCTGATTGTGTTATTCACAGAACTCTGGTGGTGGTTTTTCAGACATTTTTGTTGGGAAGGTTTAATGGAATATGGTGGTTTTATCTACTCTTCCATTATTTAGTATTTACATGTTCTCTTCCTTCACCTTTCTCCCTTTTCCGTCACCTTTTCATCATTAACATTACTGTTCTGTTTTGAGAAAGAGTAATTGTCTTAGTTTCTGGAAATGGAAAAAAAAAGTAATGACAAATCTCTATATCTACATTTAAATCTCTATTGTCTATATTTCTGAACAGAAAGTTTTAGTAAATTAGTACATTTATATTTTTGTGAGTCCTGTGTGGTTTTTCTTTGTGCTGTGCTTTTGTTTAATTTATTATTTTTTTCATTATCTGATTTCCCCTGTCATCCTATTTACTTATGGACACTCTTCATCTACATTCCATACTTATTTATATTGTATTCATCATTTCTTTATGACATGGCTGATACAGAAATTTTAAAAATTCTCAGTCTGCATTAAAGTTGGAACTTTGAAGAGTGAAGTCATCAAGAATTATATTACAGTAATAGCCTTTTTATTTGCTGTTTGACATTGCATAAATTTGTGAAAATCATTGCAAATGCTTGACTTATGGCTCATATTCAGTTATTTTAAAACCTACCACTGCTACATGGGTATTGTTGTTCTCTCTGCACAATGCAAGAACCTTTAAATATTTCCTTGGCATTTAGTGGAGAGAAAAATAATTTCCTATTGAGAGTTATCTAAGTCTCCTTTTCTTGTTTTGAAGGCCTTCTTTTCTCACACTATGGAAATGTCTTCCAGAGTAGCAACTGCTGTTTAAAAAAACTATATTATTCTGCATTCCCAATTTTTCTTCTTCAGTTACATTATTTTCCTTAAAAATATGAATTATGCAATAAGAATTTCATTTACCTTGGTCCTTCAGAATATGTTTCTATATTAACTTATATTTACAATACTGTGACAATTGGAAATAATTCAATTGTAAGATGTCCACATTCCTGTTGGATTTTAAGTTTCATAAGAACTGAAGACTATGATTGCTTTTCTCCTACTTCTTCATCCCCAGAAACTAGAATGGTGCTTTTCACATCATTCATACTGTATTTTGTGAATGAATTAATTGATGGATAAAAAAGTGAGACACAAAGCAGAAATTATTACAGAGATCAGATTAAAGGAAAAAATTAGAATAATGGTTTATTTTCTTCCATATAATCATACAGCATATGAACAGATAAGTACAATGAATACATACACATTACTAGCATTCTATATAGCAATAATACTTAAGTTGAAGAAGAAATGCAGATAAGCTGCACCAAAAGAAAATTATCACGTGTTTTACATGATCTCTGGGTTTTTTATATATTAAAACTTTAGAAAAATTATCACATTTAATTTATAATTGTCTCTGTATCTTTATAGCTACCCATCCTTATTCTGGTTCATCAGATATTTTGTTTCAGAGTGAAATGCTAAAATGTAGTGGAATATAAAGGTATAACGTTTAGTTTCAAGATGTATCTTTGTAACTCCAAATAATGTAATTTTATTGAAAAAAGTATTTGTTAGGCAAGTAAGTACTTACTTGATAATCTGTCAAGTGAAAAAAGGGAAAGCTATTTACTGTTAAACATAGAATTTCAAATAAGACGATGTACCAAGATAATGAGATATAAGCATTGCTTATACATGGTACACCTTTCAACTCATTTTAGAATCAAATTATCCTTCATGAATAATTTAAACGTATATTCCTGGAATAGTAATGTTAAAATCATTATACTCTCAAATGTTAAATATTCAGGGTAAAGTTGTACTGTTGCATGGCTTACAATAGATTGGCAATTAGGTCTTTGAAAATGATGAACATGCTTTGAAAACATCAAATAAACAAGCTTTTTTATTGGACTATTTTTTATACCAAAATTATTAATCTCATAGAAACTACTAATATTGTGAGTTTAATTGGTAAAATGTCATTAATGAAATACAAATTTCAAAGTACAATGATTTTAAATTTATAATGTAGTGAAAGAGAACAAAGTAATTTAGTTAAAAGTTGCTACATTGAAATCTAAGAGTATAGCGTTGTTTTCACCAGATTTCCCTTGAATAAATGGTAATTTTCTATTCTGAAGTATTTAAATTTGAAATAACTCTTTGAATAATTCATGTATAAATTGGGTAATATATTACCTCATGATAACATTGTTTCTGTGTGAAGATCTTCTAATAACTATTTGAAACAATAAATAGTACATGCTTTCAGTTTGGGGTGAGGTATGTAAAAAATGGGAGAATTCAAAGAAAAATCTTCCTCACTTAGCAGTTAATTATTTCTCATTAATATAAGAAATAGCTTGTTTAAACAGTAATCCCAAAATATAGATTTATTACATAAACTCCAAAACAAGAGCAACAATGAGTGGAGGACTTTGACAGACAATGTTTTCTTCATGACCACGATTATTAGGATTGTAGAATATTACTATTTCTATATTTTTGTGCTAAAATTTTATATTCTATATTTATTATGAATAATAGATTTGAAAAGTATTTCCTTAGTATTGGCATTGAGAAAATATCGAATTCAACTTTAAATAACAAACTGTTTAATTTGATTTCTGCATAACAAATAATAGTGTGCGTTTTTTGTCTATAACTTAGTGTTGGTAAGATAATAGTTTCACATCACCAACTAAAGCAATACAGGCTTCATATTTACCTTATCTGTCAGACAATACTATGGATTTGGAAATGTAAAAATATTAACTCCTCAGGGATAGGCAGCAGTATGTGCAAGTTCCTCAGTCTAATACACAGAGACACACACACACACACACACACACACAAACACACACTCTACCCAGGACCAATTTTAACACTGGTTTGCATTCATAGAACTCTTAAGACAAATTGCAAATTGATGAGGGATAATCAGAGTTGGTCAAATAGTAAATGTTTCTGTGAAAAGTCAATCCATAAGGCATCGTGTTTTCCACTATTCATCCTCCTCCTGAGGACATTGTTTCTTTAATTGATTAAAGGAGAACTTTTGAATGTATTATTTTAGTTCTTACACACACACTTCTACACAACATACAAACACACATTTTATGTAGTAAGTTATCGTTAATAACATGATTGAATGTAAGTATTTCTACATTTGTTTAAAAAAAATTCAATACATATTGATTCAGCCTTTTCTGAAACTGGACTCCATGCTAGGTACTGAACTCATGAAGGCTAAATGCAAATGAGCACACCTATAATAGAGTTGTCACTATGAAGCTTACAGTTTCAAAAAGAATTCATATGTTAGTATAATAATTTTCTAAACAATGAGTTGATTATGTTATCTTTTGGAAGAAGTAAGATTTCCTTTTTTAGTAATTACATAATCTATTACCTATTTAACAATTATGACAAATGACTTGAAGATGATTATAATGAGCGAAGAAAATAAAAATTGAAAGAACAGATCATTTTTTCATTTATAAGTAGCTTGGTCTCTAAAATGCAATTTCAGAAATGAAATGGATTGAATATTTTTATTGGTACTATAAATTTTAAAAAGTCTTTTAAAGAGACGCAAAGGTGATAGGTAATATGAAATGAAAATAATAATATTATAGTAAAAAATAAGACTACAGGAGCCTTAGATTCTATGCCTGCTGTGATTTATTTTTGCATGAATATAAACTATGAAATTCAGTATAGATATCTTGAGATCTTTTTATAAGAGCCCTTGATAAGTGTTGGAAAATAGTAGAATATGCTTTCATATCTAGTATATTGTAGATAAATGTTTAGATCAAATTTTGATTGTTTTCCTACTCACTATATGACCAGGCTACTGGATCTTAGATATATAGTGACAGACTGAGAAAATAACTTTTGTTTTTAAAACCTAAGAAGAACTCTTGTCTCCCTGAATAGTTAATGGAATTGGTATAGGGTTTCAAAATGAGCTGTTGCTTTATTTATTTATTTTTTTATTCAAACTTCAGTTTCCATTAACAACAATCAGATCCTCTATACTTTTAATACAGTGAGCACTGGTATAAATCTTGACCTGCTCAGTTGGAAGGAAATGAATTTGATTCCCAGGTCCATTGAACAGTCAAGGTTCAAGAGCACAAGAGTAATAAGTTTCAAAATATCAAGATGTTGGGAACAGAATATGTTTGCACTGCTTTTAAGCAGAAGTACACTCAAATGGAAA